TCCCAGCAGAGCTGTTTTTACCCATGCTTCCTGAAGTCCCTCATGTGAGTGCAGCCACACCTTTTACAAAAACTGTAAGCATTCAACTCTTTTTGTGTTTTAATCAATCTTTATGTGTGAGAGAAGTATACTGTCTCTACCTGATTGTATCATTTTCTGGCCTGCATGCTTTTCTTGAACAAAAAGATATAAATTAAAAATGTCACCAGACGTAGTGGCACACACCGTTAATCCCAGCATTCTGGAGGCAGAGCTCTGAGTTCCAGGCCAGCTGGGGCCACAGGGAGACCCCATCTCAAAAAGACCAAAAAAAAATTAACCCCCCTTTTTGGCACCTGTGGGATGAACAGCTAAGCCTTCCTAGTGAACAGAGAGGTATTAAAGGAAAAAAAAGAAGCAGAATCACTAATAGGCCTTTCTCCTTTGGATGGGGAAAGGTAAGAAAAACAGCTGAATAAACACTTGATGAGTGGCACCAGGCGTGGTGGCACAGGCCTGTAATCCCAGCACTTGGGAGGCAGAGGCAGACAATCTCCTGAGTTTAAGGCCAATCTGGTCTACATAGTGAGTTCCAGGCCAGTTGGGGCTACAGGGAGACCCTGTTTCAAAAGATTTAAAAAAAAAAAAAAAAAAAGGATGAGTGAAAGGAATAATTCTTACAACTCTCCCAGATAAAAAAGAATCTAGCTCTGCTCCCTAACCTCAGGCAACCAGATACTACAGCTGTCTTTGACTTGTGGGTGGCAAGAACATGCCTGAAATTCCCTGCCCACACCACCAAAAGTGTACCACTGTGCTATGTTAAGGCAAGTTTTTCCAAGTTTTCAGATATCTAATAGATGGACAAAATTATCTATGAATCGTTAAGGACTGAAAACATACACACACACCCCTTTCTGATACAGGGTTCCATTTTAGCCCAGGCTGGCCTCACAAAACTGTTAATCCTACTGGCTCTACCTCCCAAGTGTTGGGATTACAGGCATGCACCCCCCTGGGAGCACTGGTTTCATTAGGATGCCAATGTTGCCCTTGAAGCAATCCTCCTGTCTTAGTCTCCCATGAGGCAGCAACTCTGTCTTTATGAACAGCCCATCTTAGCCAGGCATGACAGCACTGGCCTGAAATCCCAGTTGCTTGGAAGAGGTAGGAGGAGCAGGAGTTCAAGGCCAGCCTCACAGCATAGCACATTTGAGGGCAACATGGGCTACATGAAACTGTCTTTTTTTTTTTTTGCTTTGTTTTTATTTTATGTGTAAGCGTGTATTGCATGAATGTGTATGCAAGTGTATCTGTGTCATGCAATGCCCACAGAAGACACACCAGGGCATCAGATCCCCTGGACTGGAGTTACAGATGGTTGTTAGCCACCATTGGATTGGCATGCAGGCCAGAAAATGATACAATCAGGTAGAGACAGTATACTTCTCTCAGCATTGGGATTCAAACCCAGTGCTCCTAACTGCTGAGCCATCTCTCCAGCCCCAAAACTGTCTTTTTTAAAAAAAGTGACCTGCCAGGGGTGGTGGCACATGCCTTTAATCCCAGCACTCAGGAGGCAGAGACAGGCAGATCTCTGTGAGTTCAAGGCCAGCCTGGTCTACATAGTGAGTTCCAGGACAGCTGGGGCTACAGGGAGACCCTGTCTCAAAAAGACCAAAAAAAAAAAAAAAAAAAGTGACCTACCTAGAGCCCTCAAATTTTAAATAATAATGTTTGACTGGATCATTAACTGACTCTTTTCAGTGATTTTGTGCTTGAGCAATTTTATTCTTACATCTTTTGGCTTAAAAATGCAATACCACAAATCTACCACACTGACTTTGCCACAACTGCCTGTATTACACAAAATGGGAAAATAAAGTAGAATCTATATGCTAAGTAAAAAGGCATTTGATAAATATGCTATTATGCTGTCATATGTAAACCTGTTTTCTAAAAACACATAAGGCCTATATGGACTAATGAATACTGGGAAGCATTTAGTAGGTAGTTATAATTTTTAGCTCTGAATACCAGGCTCAAACTACTGGAAAACAAAACTCTTTTGGTTTGTATTTTAATATGGTATAAAGGGTTAAACTGTCTATTTATCACAACTGCAGACCATAAAGTTGCATGAAATTCAATATTCAGGTTCTAAGAATTTATAGCCAAATACTTAGTTAAACCAGTTTTAAGGTACATTCAGGGTAACAATTTTATACACATATACATACAGCTATATTAATTTTACCATAATTCTACACCCTTTACTAACATTAATTTCTGAGCAGTGTCTGGCCCTAACTAAAAGTAGAACATAAAAAAGACTGTGGTGGCATATGCCCTTAATCCCAGTACAGGGAAGGCAAGAGACAGACAGATCTCTATGAGTTGGGGCCAACCTGCTCTACACAGCATATTCCAGGCTAGCCAGGGTTACCACAGTGAGATGCTGTCTCAAAAAAATGAAAAAAAGCTGGGTATGGTGACGTATGCCTTTAATCCCAGCACTTGGGAGGCAGAGGCAGGTGGAGATCCAGACCTGCCTGGTCTACACAGCGAGTTCCAGGCCAACAATTAGAGCACATTGTTTTTTTAATATTTATTGTTTTAATTAATTTTTTTTTTCTGTGTATGAGTGTTTTGCCTGCATGTTAGTACACCCATGTATGTCATGCAAAGTCCGAGGAAGCCAGAAGAAGACCTGAGTTGAGGATTATGAGCTGCCATGTGCGTCCTGGGAACTGAACCCCAGTCCTCTGTAAGAGCAGCCAGTGTTCCTGAGCCTCTCTCAGGCCCAAGATTCATTTTTTAAAATTACATGTGTGTGTTGTATGTGAAAATGAGCACCTGTATTCAGGTATCCAAGGCCAAAAGATGTTGGATGTCCTTGAGCTGGAGTTACAGGGCAGAGCCACCCAACATGGGTGCTGAGAACTGAACTCAGGTCCTCTGCAAGAGCAGGACGCACTCTGCTGAGCCATTTCTCTAGCGCCACATTCTTTCTTTATAAACTAATATTTTTCCAAGTATCACAAAGAGCCTTATAAAAAGGTGAAAACTGAGCTGGACAGGGAGGTGCACACCTGCAAATACCAGCACTCAGGAGGCTGAGGCAGGAAGATGACCTTTGAGGCCAGTCTGGGCTACAGAGGGAGACTCTATTTCCTCCTCCTGACCCCCTATCCCAAGTTATACTTCTGGCCTCTTAGTTTGATGACACGGCTGTCCCCTCCTGCTCTGCTAACCAGGAATCCTTCCTGACTCATCTTTGTACATCTGTGTCCATCATTTCCTTAGAGATCTGGCTCAAAACCTGATCCTTGAGGCTGGAGAGATGGCTCAGCAGTTAAGAGCATTGGCCCTCTTGCAAAGGACCCAAGTTGAGTTCCTAGCACCTAGGTAGTACCCAACAACCATCCATAACTCCAGTTCCACGGGACCTGATGCCCTCTCTGGCTTCCACAGGCATTGCTCGACAGGAACGCACATCCATCCATCCAGGCAAAACACTCATACACATAAAATAAAAATAAATTTTTAGGCCGGGCATGGTGGCGCATGCCTTTAATCCCAGCACTCGGGAGGCAGAGGCAGGCGGATCTCTGCGAGTTCAAGGCCAGCCTGGTCTACATAGTGAGTTCCAGGACAGCTGGGGCTACAGGGAGACCCTGTCTCAAAAAGACAAAAAAAAATAATAAAAATAAATAAATAAAATTTTTAAAAAGGAATTCCAATCCTTGACAAAGTTTCCCGTAACTAATCCCATTTCTTTCAAATACTTCATAACCTGGAACTTGCTATGTAGACCAGGCTGGCCTTGAACTCACAGAGATCTGCCTGCATCTGCCTCCCGAGTGCTGGGATTAAAGGCGGAGGCCACTATGCCCGGCCTCCAAATACTTTTTAACTCTGCATTCCCTCAGCACATATCTGCCTTGGGTACTACATAATCAACTACTACATGTCTTTCCTCCCTAGAAGCTGTTTTGCATTCTCCTATCACTTCCCCTAGTAGAACTAAATAGAGACAGCACCGTTCACGTATTCAAGTCTCCTAGCAATAAATATTCAAAGCATGACTGAATCTCCCTCCGATGGAAGGAAGGGAAGCAGATCGCTCAAGGCTTTCTGAAGCTACCCACCGCCTTTTCATTTACAAAACTCCATCACCTCCAATGCCCACTAGTCTCTGAAGGGACTTAATTCTGCTTCAGCTGCGTAAATAAATTCATCATAAGAAGACATAAACACATAGATCACCTCTATACTGAAGGCAAGGAATAATTTTGGCTCTTCACACCTATCTTGTGAGGTACCGTTTCGGGTTTCTTCCAAAACGCCTCCTACTCTTGAAAAGCACGCCTAAAGCTGCGGTAGGCAGCTGGCACCAGTCTCTTGCAAAAGGGGCGAAACTCGAGTTGGCAGAAAAATGCTCAAACACGTGAGCTTCCACTGTTCAACAAGGCTCATTAACCACACAAACTTGCTGTCTCAGCTCTCTGCCTTCAATGAAGTGCTATGATCTCCTCTGGTTATTGTTGAGAGCCAATGATGGGTTAAATTCCCATAAATTAGCCAGTGCTTTGGTGGTTTGCCCAAGCAAACCGCTGGCATCGGTGTAGACGGATTTAATAGACCCGCCCGCCCCAGGAGCCTGGGGATGAGTGAAGAAAGCGCCCAACCGACACTTCTCAGCAAGCCGAAAGGAGCCGATCGCGCTCTCCCCCGAGATGGTTCTTAGAGTCGTCTTATCGTGCCAGAGGGGTGAGCCTCGCACGCGGCTGCCTTTCTTCACCCCCGCCCCCTAAATTTCAGCTGCGTCTCGCTCCGCAAAGCCACACTTCTGCGGATGCTCAACTTCACGCCGGGCGCATCAGTGTTTCCACCCAGGAGTCTGGAGGGAGAGGCGGAGGGAACAGGCTAGCCCTGCAAACCGGCTGGGGGTGCAGAGACAAAGTGCGCGCGGGAGCCCTCCCGCCTGCTGGCCCGTCCGCCCCGCCGGCCCCGCTCACCCTCCAACAGCACCTCCTTGCCCGCGCGCTTCAGCGCCTGCACGGCCTGGTCGTGGGTGGCCTGGCGCAGGTCGGTGCCGTTCACCGACAGGATGGCGTCGCCCAGCCGCAGCGCCCGGCTCTGGTCGGCCGCCAGCCCCGGGAAGATCTTGGAGATGAGGATCGGCATCCGGTTCTCGCGGCCGCCCTTGATGCTGATGCCCAGGCCGCCCGCCTCCTGCTTCACCACTCGCACTCGGCGCACCGGCGGCGACGCACCCGCCTCCCCGGCGGGGCCCCGCGGGGGCGCGGGCGGGCTGGGTGGCCCCAGGCCGCGGCTCGGGCTCCCTGGCAGCGAGTCTCCGCCGCCGCCGCCGCCGTTCGGGAGGCCGTTGAAGGCGGCGGGCAGCCCCATAGCCGGCTCGGGCTCCACTGCCGCGGCGTCGCCTGTCAGGCTCAGGCTCTCCCCGCTCAGCTCGGCCACCACCCGGACCCAGCGCTCCCGCAGGAGCAGCTCCAGCAGCCCCGCTTTGGTGGCCCGCGTCCACACCGCCATGGCCGGCTCTGCTCCCGCGGCCGCCGTCGCCGCAGTTCCCGGGACTCCAGGCAGGCGGGCAGGTCGTCGCTTCCCCCTTCCCGCCCGAGGGGGGCGGCCTCGCCCCTCCCCCCCCAGATTCATTATTCATGAGGGCCACGCCCACCTTCCGGAGGGGCGGGGAGAAGCCGGCGCGGCTGCTTCCGGGAGGCCAAGTTGTCCTGGTCCTTTGCTTGCAGCTCAGCGAGTGTGGACAGCCCCAAGCGCGGCGAGGTTCCGTCTCACGTTCCCCGCGCGCCGGTTCCTCTGGACCCCCTCAAAGTCCTGACCTCTCCTACGAGAGAGAGCTGCCCGGACAAACCAGCCTGGAGATGCACTTTCCAAGCCTGCAGGACTGGGTGGCACGATCATTCTTGCATTGATTGGTTCGTGGCGAGTGTGCTTAGGACTCCTTAAATGTGCTCCTTTTAAGGCTGAATAAAATGTACTACAACTGAGAGCTTGAGGTCTAGTGGGAAAGAAAAGCACAGAGGGGACCAACTAGGTGTGAATCTCTGTGGTTAAAAGACTGCAGCAAACGCCCAGGACAGAATAAAAAGAACATTTGGTTAGGCCTGGAGTCAGCCACACAGGGAGCACAGCATAAGCATCAAGTCCAAAAGCATGAATTCAAGGTTTTGTCACTCTGCTTTTAAAAATCACCTGCTTACTTGCCTGTCATTAAAAAAACAACATGTCTGTGGCTGGAGAGATGGCTCAGCGGTTAAGAGCACTGACTGCTCTTGCAGAGGATGCGGGTTCGATTCTCAGCACCCACATGTTGGCCACGAACCATCCTTAAGTCCAGTTCCAGAGGAATCTGAAGTCTTCTGATCTCTGCAGCATTGCGTGACACGGGTGCACTCACATACATGCAGGCAATACACTCGTATACATAAAATAATAAAATATTTTTAAAAATCATGTCTTCTAATGCACTGAAGCCACAGTAGGCAGGATCAAAGATATTTGCAGTATGTTGATATTTTAGGGTTCCCCAGGGATACAGACCAATAAGATATATAGATACACAGATTATGAGGGATTAGCCACGAGATTATAGAAGATAAATTCCACAGTCTGCCATCTGCAGCCTCAGGGAAGTTCGTTGTTGGGCTTTGAACCCAAACCCAAAAACCTAAGGACCATAAGAGCCAATGAGAGAAGCCTGAAGAGTTGGGAAGACTCAAGGCCTGAGAAGGGGTGCCCATGGGAGGCTATGATGTAAAACCTGGCCCAGTTCATGGAAAATCAGGAGCACTGAGGTGTGACAGAAGAGGGTCAGCCCAGTTTTCTCGCAGAGAGGGAATTCACCTTTCCTCTGCCTAATTGTTCCATTGTAGGCTTCCATCTGATTGGATGATACCTGTCCACACTCATGAGGACAATCTTGTTACTCAGTGTATCATTCAAATAATCTCTCCCAGAAACACAGACAACCCAGAAATGTTTTACCATCTTTCTAGGCATTTTTTAGCCCATATAAAATAAACAACATAGGTGGTTTACTTAGGAAGTTGTCAGACTTCCCATATGAACAATGCATAGCATCAGTGAAAGTGGGCAGGATATGTGTGAAAAGCATCATATAATCAAATACTGAAGAGTATTTGTAGGCTTGGCTTTCTTAGCCTGGAGTCTATCTCCTGGAGCACTGCAGATAAGCATCCCAGAAGTTGTTATAAAATGTGTTGTCTAAAGAGATTTTAGAGTCCAGGACTTTTACCAATTCAAGAGTGGTCCAATCACCAAAGACTACAATCTACTATTTCTTCCAGCTCCATAAGGTAGAGGAACTGAGGAACCCGAGGACCAAAGAGCAAAGACCATGGTCCAAAGTTCCCAATGAAGAAAGAGAAGAATTTGGCTCTTTAGCTCCCTGGTTTAGTGTTCTGTTCACTATACATCTCACACCTTAAAAAAGGAGGGTCTTTCTGCGAGTGGTGGCACCCATCTTTAATCCCAGCACTTGGGAGGCAGAGGCAGGTGGATCTCTGTGAGATGGACACCAGCCTGGTCTACATAGTGAGTTCCAGGCCAGTCAGCTACAAATGAGATCCTGACTCAAAAAACAAAACAAAAAGGAATCCAGGAACCACAGAAGGTAAGCCCTCAACAAAATCATGAGATCAAGGTACCCTCCAACTTTTCCTCAGGAGTAGAAGTGGAATTCCAGTGCTTTCATTTGGGTAGACAGACTTGGAGCAAGCAGAGAGAGTATGCACCAAATCCCGTAAAAGAGGCTGTTTACTGGATTGCTTAGGAAGTACACGTTGGGGCTCGTAAGCCATAGCCATGCACCACTCTAACAAAATGCATTCATGTGCAGACAGAAACTTCCAGAGTCTCCTGAACCAGAAGTTAAGCATTCAGAGTCCAAATGAATAAAGAATTCAACATGAGAAATGTATCTTATCAAAAAGAGGAAAAAAGAGATCATTACAACAGAGTCTCCTTAGCAATTAGTGGAGCATGATTTTCCAAGCTGCAAATATAAGCGAAAACTCAACTTTCCAGCCTTCTCCTAAATCAACTGCTGTAAAGCCAGCCCGCTGCTCCTGCAGGTCCCAATGTGCCCGAGTGCACCTGCAGTCAAGGACATTTCTGGCTTTACTCCAGCTGAGCCCCACCCCCACCCCACCCCGGAGGCCTGAGTTATGTGAAATTTCTGCTTGTTAGCATTTGGCAGCTGATTCCTTGAAGTAAGAGCACTCATTTTAACACTTTTGCATATGTTATCATCCAGGGGTTGGGCACTGGAGGACACCTTTATTAGCAAAAGGGAAGTACTGGAAATTCAGAGAGAGTATCAAGGACTTTCTGTCAGTAGGGTTAGAGGAAGTCACAAATCTGATAGTGAGGACACTTATATAAGATAGCAAGTTACATAACAAAATATTTCAACCTGGGATCAGGGAAGGTAATAGAGATTGGTATTTGGATTACTTGGGAGTGTTTCTTTAAATTTAAAAAAAAGTTCTTTTGTTTCTTTCTTTTTTTTTTTAATCTTTTTGAGACAAGTTGTCTCTGTAGACCACACCAGCCTTGAACTCAGAGATCCGCCTGCTTCTGCTGAGTGCTGGGACTAAGTGCTGGGACTAAAGGCATGAGCCACCATGCCCGGCTCTTTTGTTTCTTTTGAGACAGTGTCTTTAGCTTAGTGTTCACTATGTAAGCCAGACTGGCCTTGAATTCACAATCCTTTTGCCACCTTTCCAGTGTGGAGTGTGTGTGTGTGTGTGTGTGTTGTGTATGAAGTGTGTGCTTATATGTGAGTGCAGGTACATATGAGCCACAGAACACATGTAGAGGTCAGAGGACAACCTCATGTATCAGTTCTTGCCTTCCACTGTGTTTTGAGACAGTTTCTTGTTTGCTGCTTCTTACACCAAGCCAGCTGGCCTGGGAGCTGCCCGGGACTCTCCTGTCTCTGTTTCCTATCTTGCTGGAGGAGCAGTGGGGTTACAGATGTGTGCCACTGTACCCAGCTTTATTTGGGTGCTAGGAATTCAAACTCAGGTCCTCATGGGGCAAGTGCTTTAGAACTGAGCCATCTCCCCACCCCTTTTGTATTTGAAACTGGGTCTCATGTAGCTCAGACTGGCTCCAAATTTCCTGTGTAGCCAAGGATGACCTTAAACTGGTCTTCCTGCTCCCACCTTCAGAGAGCTGGGATTACAGGAATACACCACAAAACCCATCTTCAGAGCTATATTTCCACATTCTTTCCTCACTACTTTCAGATCAGGCACTTGCTCGGCCAGTGCCTCCACAGTGGTGCCTCCCACACTCCCACTCAAGTCCTTCGGAATACCTCCAGTCCCTCCATCAACTTCCTCCCTGACCCAGCAAGATCTCATTCCAGCTTTCCATGACTCCTTATTTCTTTGGGATTTTTCCTTTGAGCAATGTAATTCTGCTACACCTAGAAGGTTTGCCCAAATAGATTATAAATTCCAGGAGGCCAGAGACCACCTATCAACTTATTTTTGTTCCCCACTATTTGCAAAACACTGCCTTGCAGAGAGGGAACTCTTTAAACACGTGATTGATTGAAATCCAGGGCTTCCTGTGCTGTTGTCTATTCAAATAATCCTTCTGAAAGTTATTGGTTCCCTGCAGGGTGAAAATTACCATCTAGGAAATCTCAAGTCCTCAATGGAAATCTATTTACTGTGGATAATGAAATCTGAAAGACTGTGCATCTGTTTCCACGGGTCCTAAGGACAGGAAGACAAGCTTAGAGTGCTGACCTTTAGTTCTAGCACTCTGGAGGCAGAGATCTCTGTGAGATCAAGGCCAGCCTGGTCTACATGAGTTTCAGGTCAGCTGGGGATACAGGGAAATCCTGTCTTTAAAAAAGAAAAAAAAAAGCCAGGCGTGGTGGTGCACACCTTTAATCCCAGCACTCGGGAGGCAGAGGCAGGAGGATCTCTGTGAGTTCGAGGCCAGCCTGGTCTACATAGCAAGTTCCACCAAAAATAAAAAATAAAAAAAATAAAACAGCTAAAGTAATTCCTAATCTTTTATTTCTGTTACCTCAATATCTATTCTTAGGGCTGGAGAGATGGCTTAGCAGTTAAGAACATTGTTCTCACAGAAGACCTGGGTTCAAATCCCAGCACCCACATAGCAGCTAACAACTGTCCATAACTCCAGTTCCAATGGATCTGACAGCCTTTTCTGCCCTCCATGAGCACTGCACGACGCAGGCGCACTTACCTACATGCAGGCATAACGCTCATACACATAAAATAAAAATAATAAATACAATATTTTTTAAAAATATCTATTCTCCTCTACTGTAAACTGTTATCTTACTGTATCTCAGAACAGGCAGAGACTATTACTACCTAAAAATGAGATGTGGGCTAGAGAGTTGGCTTAGTGTTTAAGAACACTGGCAACTCTTGCAGAGGACCCGGTACCCACATGGCAGCTAACAACCATCTGTAACTCTAGTTCCAAGAGATCCATCACTCTCTTCTGACTTCCGTGGGCATTGGACAACATGGGTGCACTTACATACACTCATACACATAAAATAAAAATAATAAAATATG